TAAACTGTATTATATTGAATCATATTATGTTATATGAAGTATAATTTATATTTATTTTCGTCTTCAGGGTTTGCGATCAAAAAAGTTTAGAGATCGCTGTCTTAAAAAAAATTATCTATAAGCCACAAACAAAGCCACTAAGTCCAATATAAGCCGCAAAGCCAAAAAGTCCAATATATAAGCCACAAAGTCCAATATGATAACGCAGCGTTTTCCAAACTTTTTTTGTGACCTGTTTGTTTTAATATTTTTCCTTAATGACCCAGTAAAAATATTTGTGGCTTAGATATAAATTTAAAAAAATTAATTAAAATATTTTCCTTTATTGTGAAAGTAGCAAAAATACAAAAATATCAAAGAGTAAAAACATCTTAATGGGAAGTGTGATACTGTTTCTCATTAACTAGATCTTTCAGGTCTTCAGAAAAAGATGATAACTTCCTTCTTTATCTGGTTCAGAAAAACATGCGTCGAGAAGGCTGTTTCATATTTGTAAGTTGTAGCAAAAGATATTAGAAACTTTCGCCTTTTGCAGGAAAAATGGACAATCTTGACGACAGGATAGCCGAAAATCTATCATTTGTATTTTGTCGAAGTTGTCATTAAGTGCTATATCACAAGACAGTTTAATTACGAATTTAGTATCTGAATCTAATAACTCCGTCTCTAATTCTGTATTTAATTGTGAAAAGATTTCTTATCCACGATTTGTTGCCATGTATTGGATGAAACTATTCTTTCTGATTTCTCTGCAATCATTTTATGTTGTTTCTTGATAAAAACTGAAATTTTATCAGGCATGGAACTATTCTTTTTGCTCTTCAGTTAGCTTCATAAAAGCATTGTAATTTTTTGTTTTAACATAAAGTGTCCACAAACTGAGCTTTTTCATTGCAACTTCCATCTTTTCTTACAATTATCTTGTAATGAAATATTTAATTTATTTAAAAAAATCAAACATGTCACAAAAGTAAGATAACGCTATCAACCAAATAATATCCCAAAATCTATCTTTAAATTCAAATTTTGCCTGTTTTCCTTTTACCTACATGTTGGCTCTCATACAACCCATTTGAGATGGCGGACCTTTTGTCAAAAAAAGGTCCTTTGTTCTTCAAAGGTCTTCCAAAGACCTATCTCTTCACTTTGCTACACTTGAAATCTGTAGGATTTATTAAAAAAATCCTTTCGTAATGCTGCTTTTAGTGCTACTGAAAATAAGTCGGGACTCTCCTCGTGCTATTACTGTGGCTGAGTTTAGACTATTAACTGGACATGACTGCCTTGGTGCTAATTTTTTTCGTTTTAATCTGACTACCTCACCTTTATGTGCTTTCTGTGATTCTACACAAGTCATAGACGCTGCTCATCTGGACGTGTGAAGAGTTTCGACTGTATTGTAAAGAATATTGGAGAGCTTGTTGCCTAATGACCTGATAGTCAATGGCCAGGCATTTAAAAAATAAATAATTCAAATATTGCATTTTTAGCCTCTGAAGAATGCTGTTTAAAAATATTAAAACGTCTTCTGTCATATCAAAAGTCTATTCAAAACGTTACTTCTGAATAACCAACGTACTTCGTAACATAAAAGAAGATGTTCCTGTTTACTGCCCATTTCTTTACATAATAATAATACACTGAATAACCAGGAATTCAAGGGTCAAGGGACTATGCTTTATACTCCCTCTGTATTGAAATAATTGTCTTATTTGCATAAATTATTTGTATCAAAATGATTGTTCGATTTTAAAAAGCAATGTGTTTTCCTGCTCTATCACTAATTTGAAGGCGTAAGTATTATTTACTTAGTATGATACAACTGTATAATATTATCTTATTTTATATATATTACATGTTATTCCATTTTTAAAATTATTCATTGTTCACAGGCCGCACTAGCGGATCCTCTGCTACAGATAATAAATTCCGGGATCCTATTTTGTGATCGAAGCGTGAAGAAAGCCTTTATCATGTATCCTTATATTCAATTCAGGTTTTATGGTACTTGAAACATGTTTCAACGCACCAGTGGTTCTCCTAATAGCAGAAGTAAGGCTTCTTTATGAAATATGTTTGCGAAGCATGACCTGCATGACTTTTCCCAAAACCTCGTCATGCTCTTTGTGTCAACAACCACTATGCCTCTTTATTTTTGCCTCAATATTAATGGATTCTCCTCTATCGTACCAGCGTTTGGCTCATTCTAGAAACAGTTTTGGCCGAGATATCATGTTTTTTACCAATAGCCACTACAATATCATGCACAGGTCTTTCATTTTTAAAGTTTCTCAATAGCTATTGTAGAATCGTAATTCTTTCTTCAGACGTTAAATTGAATACCTTACCCATAGCTCTATAAAAAAAATGAAAATAAATTGTCGTATAAATATCAAAATTTTGTTTTATAAAAGAAGAAGGTCGCATATTCGGAATCATTCTTCTTACTTCTATCTCCTGAATCAGATATAAATTTATAAATCAGACAGCTATTTCGATACGGAGGAAGTGTAACTTATAAATTTTATGCACTTATCGCATAGCAGTTTGCAAAAGCAAACGCATTTTTTGATGGCCAAAGCTTCTCTGTGTATGCTGCAATGCAGCCATACACTTATGGTGCTATGGCCTTTATTTTTTCAAAAAGCTCTGCACGGACGCGTGCCATTGAATGAGTACCATCGCTGCTCAGTCCCACGCATTTTTTCCAGTCCATGTCATTTCCACTGATGCCAAACAAGTGCCAAACAAATTAATATTTCTTCTGCTGAATGGTTTACAAAATTGAAATTCATTGTTAGATGTATATATTCTCAAAATCGTATTCTCAGTACTTTTAACATCTTATCTCACGAAACATAAACTGGCATTATGCCTGTACGTTTATCAATTTGAAGGGGCAAGAAAAAAGTGCAGTGTTTTAATTAAACTACAACAGTTTCTTCGTTATTATCTGCTATTTCCTCTGTTCTTTTCACTATGCTATAGAACAGAGATAACACATTTCTCTGATTTTACTGTATTTTATTACATATACGAGATGCCATTTTCATTGCAGGAACTATTGACATTTCTGCAAATGCACGAAGATATCTAATTTCAGCAATTTATTGTGATACTCCATAAAAAACCATAACTAGATTTTCAGGTAAGGCCCCCCCTGAAAAAAATTCGAAGACACAGTCTAGTTATTAATTATTTCTTATTTATAAAACAATCTATCGGCTCTGATGTTTTAATTCGAAGTGCCGCTTCAGATTTGGAGGTCTCATGGATTCATTTGATAAAGCCTTATAACAAATAATATATGATGATTTTTTATCAGCTCATTTTATAAAACCAAATTTTATATAATCGTCAAAGTACAGGGTATTTTCTTCTTTTTTCTATATGTAATGGACGACGCAGTGGTGTAGCGAGGGGGGGGGGTGGAAGGGGGTGTATGATGCCCCGGGCACCGCTCTCAGCGGGGCGCCAAATGGTCTCCAAACAAGATTTTCATCATATCACTGTGCTTTTTTCGGGGGGCGAGCGCCAAAAAGGTATTTTGCCCGGACGCCAGTTATGCTCGCTTCTCCACTGGGACAACGTGTGATACAGCCATTTTTTAGTGCTATTCTGGGAACTCGTACTTGGGTGAACGTCTCTTAAATCAACAAAAATTGTTCCTTTCCGAACATGATATGATAATTTATCGATCATAATCGGCACATTTTTTGCTGTTTTATTAATTATTTGTCCACTGATAAATTAGATGCAATATAATATTACAATTAATAGTATATGAGTACAAAAATGCATGCTTCTGAACTAATAACGAATAAAAAATCACTGTGAATGCGAATAAAGCTATGCCGCTACCAAAAGTCGACTGAAATCCGGCAGTAGACCCTAGCAATGTTTTCCCGCTTCAGTTCAGAACCGCAATAGCCGTTCACATACAAAAATATTGGTTAGGTCTGTTGCTGTACTGCAGACAAGCCTAATTAAGTTTTGGTGGCATAGGAGATACCACTAAAATAGGAACTAAACTAAGAAATAGATTAATAAGTTTCAGTATCACTTGTCGTCTATGAAGGCATTAAATTACTAAATGTTGAGCTCATCTATTGATAAAATATAATATAATTTCATGCTACTGTAAAATGTATGGTTAGTAATTTCGTTAAGTTTTATTTGTAACTCGGTGATTTACTTTTGTGTCGAAACCCAGCATTTAAGAAAAGCTATGACAATGCGTTAAATCTAAAATTGAATAGAATGCATTTTCCAGAAATTTGAAGCACGATTGAAAAATGAAACAGGGCTTTATTCAACATACGTTTATTTTATTTTATTTTTATTTATTTATTTATTTATTTTTGTCTTTTCTTAAAAAGGAAATTTCTAAAAAATGTTAAACCTTGAAAAGCATGTGCAGTAAATGCAAGTAAAAACATGAGACTTTTTGAAGTACGTAAAGAAAAAAAAAATTAACTTGTTTATGATGTTGAAAAAGGGTTTCTTTAGCCTGCTCAGAAGTATAATATTGCTAGAATAAGGACATCAGTTAAAGATGGAATCATCAGTTTCAGAGCGATATTTGTACCTATTTTAAGATACGAAAAATTTCGCTGTAATTAGGGCTTGGTTCCAGTCAGAACCCAATAACGGTACTTATCCTCTTGTAGAGTCATTAGGTTTCTTTGAAGGAGGAGATGTGAAATATGTGCAATGCCCTCGCCGGGACTCGAACCCTGGACCTCTTGAATATTCGTCGAGTATGCTTTCTATTTACACAACGAAAAAATGTGGAAAGAAGGTAGAAAATACCTAATAATCTTTCGAGAAATCGCTAATTCAGCTACAGCCGAACTCCGAATATGACGAGCTCCAGTACTTTGCTGTGGATCTGAATCGTAATCTTTGCAAAAAATTCTATTATTAATGAAACATTTTATTTAGCAGTTAGTGAAAATGATATTGATACTAGATATTAAATGAATGTCTAAGTTTTGTAGGAGATATCAAAATGGGAAAACTTGAGCTGCTAAAGAAGGAAATCCTCCATGTCAAAATGCGATTTATCAGGAAGAGGAATTTTTATGGGCAAAATGATCGAAATGACTTCAAATAGATTACCTGCCTATGAAAAGAACTATTTTATCTGAATCAGAAGGATGTTGATCAAAACAGGTGTCTTCTTTTCATCCTAGGTATCCTGTTTGGTTTCTATTAATTTACGCATCTTTCATTTGTTTTATTGTTTCAGTACATTTTTAAAATGATTTTAAATTTATTATTATTAATTTTTATTATATTTTAATTATTACACTTACTTATTTTATATTAATTTTTATTATATTTTATTTATTACTTACTTATCTTTATCATTAATTTAACTTAATTTATTAACATTTTATCCCTTTATGTTTTACTTAATTTATTCATTCATTACGTATTATTTTGTCTATTACCAGTTTATTCATTTATTTTTATTCACCATTCTTGACGGCCTTTCACAGAACTCCAGTATTGTTAATTTTAGAACAAATTTTGAGCTTTTACGTACAGCGATAAAGAGGAGGTCGTCAGTTGAATAAAGAAATATTTATGACATTTTATAAATATACGGATAGAAATTTACAAATACACAGCCTTCAGGCTATCAAGCTATAACGGTAAAGACAGCTTCACGGCAAAGCACTAAAGTACAGTTCCCAACTCGGTCGATCGCTCTCGGAGCTCAACACACTCGACGATGCATTTACGATATACTGCTACTCCGCATACAGGCGGGGTTTATATAACTTTTTGCCTGCCTTCGAGAACATTATGGGCCAAACTGGTAAGAATTCGAACCAGTAGAATGTTCTCCATCCGTCTATGTCATGTCGCCAATTTTGTCGCCAAATGGGCGATTTCGCGCAAAATACGGCAACCCTGCTTACCCTTGTCATTTTCTGGTAGCCCTAAAATTGCTTTGCGGGAAAGCTGTCTTACCGCAGCTGGACTTTTCGTAACAATATTCTTTCTCACATATGACTAAAATAAAAAAATAAACAATTTTAAAATGACGAAGATGTTCACAATGAAGAATTTAAATCAGAAATACCAATAAGAAATTTAAATGAACATACTTTAATCAATCTTACATATAAAGTTTCTATACTATGACTAATATTGCCCCTTAAAGTTCTGTTAATAATCTAAATAATCTAAATCTAAAATCGTGGTAGTTCTGTGTACAGTTCGTACACAGAAGTACCACAATTTTGTGTTTTTAGTCGCATGCCTAGTATTGTTGTAGTATAACCAAATATTATGATAATTAAAGAAATTATTTTCTATTTTTGGTCAAGCAAACAAACAAAAAAACATAAATGAAACAATAAATCTTTTTAAAAAAAAATCCATCATTATTGGCGACTGCTGACATGTAAAAACTGAAAATTTGGTAAATTATAGTAAAAATTAAAAAGAAAAAGCTTTATTCAAAAAAATTATTTTTTAAGCTATGCAATGAGTTAAAGGTTAAAATTTTGTAAGTTTTGCTTGTTAATCAAAGATATACAAGAAAAATTCAACATTAAATAAATAAATAAATAAGAAGATCTAGATCGAATTTTGAAAATATTCTTGTGAAATATTGTATTATTACTGGAAATACGTGTATGCGCGAAAGTCCAGAAAGTCTTATCAAGTAGAAGCGATTTAGAAGTTAATTTCAAGGTTTTATCTAAATAAATACAAAAATCAAGTTAAATAAAACCTTGGGACAAAAAAAAAAAAAAAAAAAAAAAAAAAATGATTGGTTCGACTCTCGCACAAAATATAATAGTGAATATTCTTCGCTTTCACATCGCTTGGCTTTCTCCTCATTTACAATTACGTAATACAGTTTCTTTTGAATTTCTATTTTGTGAAGGATTTATGATTTATTTTGAGAATTTTGGTATATATTAAACTAGTGTTCAATAGTGAAATAAATTTCTTTCTCTAATGAGAATTTCGAATTACGCTCAGCAAATTCACCGAGGTAAATTTCTTTTCCATTTCTTCTTTTATGAGCGTTCACTGCTCAAAATAATATTATATAATAATTTATGATTTTTCACCCATCGATATTTTGAAAAACAACTCTGTAGCGAAACGGAAAGTAGATATTTTAGTAAAATTCTGCAACTAATAACGTTGGATTTTTTTAAATATCTGCACATCATCAAGAAGGTATTGAGACGCAAAGAGATCATTTAGTTTTAAAAATAGAATCAGAAGCAAAACATTATTTAAAATATGTCATAGGCAGAAATGTATCATACTGAGATTACAAAAAAAAATTACTTCCGTTCAGTATAGGCAATAATTAGTGCATCTAAATAACCAGAAAATCGAAAATTAAATGTTAGATCTGTAATGCAAGTACTTTATCTCAGGATGCAGTAAATGTTCCAAACTTTAATGAAAATAATGGAATTTTTACTTTTAAATCATTCGGTTTTGAATTAGATATTAATTTATTTTATTCACCTACAATACAGCACATGATGATCCAGGGATACTAACATTTGTTATCATTAATGCCTAACAATTTCAGATTTCATTTCAAAAAATACTACGTAGAAAGCTTTCAATACGTACTTTTATCTGCAATGGCGTCTTTGTAGCAACTAAGAATAACCGTTTCCCCTTAAGCATTTGATTAAAAGCTAAGCCTGTCGATATGAGAATCACAAACAGTTGTAACAGTGTACATTGTTTAAGGTCAAAGAACAAAATGAATGACAAGGTTATTGAACTAGTGTTTCTGAAGACATCTTTGCATTCTCAGCAAATCAAATCTTTATGTCACTATTTTCTCTCTAACGAACATAGTAATTCCATTTTAAGAGTAAAGAGATTATATGGATGTCTTTATAGATGTTCCTATTTTTATACTTTTATATTTATTTCCAATATATTATCGTTTAGAGTTTCCAGAGTTTCATAACTATGTTTTATAAACATCAGAAAGAGAGATCATGACACTGAAATATATTCCGTCAACAGTATATCAACAGAGAGCAAAGAGAAAAAGGCTCTGTCATCCTTATCTACGATATGTTTACTTACTTATCTATGAAGGAAAGGAAAATCGTTTTTAATGACATTTAATTTCCTTATTCTACGTTATCAAAACTACTGATGCTTTCCTATGAATATCTATTTACTAAAACATAGTAATTTTTTTTTCTGGATACATCTGAAAACATGCCAACTACAACACCTTAATACAGCCATTTTTTATTGGGAGGATTAAAGTATTTTTCTTTTTAAATATTTACATCTAATTACCAGATCTTCAGACTCGTACACACTTAAAAAAATGGAGAATGTTAAGTTCTTCTCTTATTCCCGATAGTCCAAGACGCAATGCAGTTGCGGCTTTCCGTCTGTCTACAGGACATGATTGCCTTGCCACCCACCTGCACAGCCGCATTTCAAGCGATCCTATTGCTCACTTTTGTGATCCTGGAGAAGAAACGGACAGGGACACCTACTGCGATGTGAGGCTCTTCGTGATCTTATAAAAAAGTCGAGGTACTGGGAGGCAAGAAACGCTCTTTAGGTAATGACTTCGGTCTTTTTTTTTTAGTTCTATTGTTTGTAACTTCTGTTTGTAACATTTTTAGTTCTTTGTAACTTTTTGCCTAACCATTGGAAATAATTAAAATAAATAAAATAAATAATAAATAAAATAAAATTTAAAAAAAATAAAAAAATAAAAATAATAATAAAATAAATAAAAAAATGTAGACTATGTTATTATTGTATTTTTATATCTGAAATCAGAGATAAAAAGTAGAAAGCTTTCAATTTTCATTATCCAACTTAACTGATTACTACAACAAGTAAAAATACTATATGCTTACATCAATTAAATATCTCATGCTTTAGTTTCAGTATTCTATAATCAATATTCATTGTAATATGACGAAATGTAGAGGCGCAGTAAGATGGCTTCCCAGCAAAGCAGGTATAGGGTTGCCATAAAAAGGCAAAAGAGAGCAAAATTGCCACATTTGGCGAGAACTTGCCCATTTGGCGACAAAATTGGCGATATGGCACGGACGGATGGAGAATCTTCTGGAACAAATTCTTACCAGTTTAGCCCAGAATGTTCTCGAACACAAGCCAAAAACTATATAAACCCTGCTGGTACGCGGACAGTCAGTGTGTCTTATCTAGTTAGTCCGTGCGGAGACGATCGAGTTGACAGCCGGCCAGCGTGTGCCGAGTGGGTCATAGAGTGCATCGAAGAGTGTATCGCGGTTAGTGCATCGTCGAGAGAGTGTGTTAAGGTCCGGGAACGACTGAACCGAAGAGTCGGGAGCTGTGCTCTGTGTGTTGTCGAGTGCATCGCGAGTTGTAGCGTGGAGAGTCTCGAGAGTACGTGGAGTTCCGAGAACGACCGAGCAGAGTCGGGAGCTGTACTCTGGTGCTTTACAGTGAAGCTGTCTCCACCGTTATTGCCCGGTAGTGTGAAGGCTATGTCGCTGATTGTTCCAGCGTGTTTATAGTAGATCTTCGACGACTTTAAAAAGTGACAGTGGAGCTGTCCTGATTAATTTTGGCCAAATAAAGTGTGTTTCGCTACTTCAACAAGTCTCGTCGTTATTCACTCCAAATCCACACGAACCCGTAGCGAACGTACCGAAGAAAGAAAATAACGTAACAACTGGTGTCAGAAAATAACGCAACAGTATTATATATAGCAGTTCCGTTTGATGAGACTTCCAGTTAATGGGATCAGCTGTTTATTTGGAACACATCTTAAAGAATAACTCCTAATTGGGAAATAAACATTCTTTGCTCGATATAGATTGAGTGTCGTTTCAGTGGAGCACTTGCGCAATTGGAAATGCTTTCACACTTATCGTTTGGCATTTTCAGAGCTTAGAAAAAATCATAAAATTTAAAGACAAATAAGTAACATGTATTTTATTATAATAAGCATCATTTTAGACAAACCTCTATTACTTTTATAGACATATCATTTAGTATTTCATGTATGAAAAATATATTCTACACGCATATAATTACTTAATGAGATATTAGAAGGAAATAATCTGAAACCTTTACAGATACAACCATTGGAATGTTACGTAGAAAGGTATCTTCTACTCACATAATAACTTGCGAGAAAGAATACCAAAAATAACCTGTAAAATGGTTAGATATGTTTTGAGATTTACATGAGAAAAATATGTTCTTTTTACATATTATTTGCTGTAATATTACTAGCAAATAATCTGTAACCATTACAGATATATCGTTTGGGAATTTACATGAGAAAAATATGTTCTACTTACATAACTATATGCTGTGATATTACAAGAAAAAGATCTGTAACCATTACAGGCCTGTTACTCAAATAACCTATGGCATCCCAGTTTCCATGAGTTTTTCTAGTAACCTTACAGATTTTTTTTACAGTGTAGGACATGCCAAACCCACGGGCCGACTAATAAGTGACCTTTCCGGGGCCTCCAGAGCCACCAGATGCGTAATTTGTATACCACCGTGGCCGAGATTGCCTAGGTACAGATCCTAGCGAGTAGCTTCAAAGAGTTCTCTACGTCGACCTCCCTGGGGGGATCGCAAGGGTACAATAAAGAAATTCTATTTTAAAGTGAGATACAGTTGTGTTGCTTGTTTGTTTAATCCGTGATAAATAAGCATGCAAAGGCAGGACGCATAGATGATTTTCTGAGAGAAATTAGTTCCTTTTTACGTTACACATGCAACACGTGACTGTTCACTCAGCGACTAATGAGCAATGCAGACATCTCCAGACATGAACAAATGCAAACTAAATTTTGTGCCTCACTTCGTGATGAATATTAAAGTTAAAATTTTAAAATCTTCATGTACGTGGAATTTGAAATCCGACATATGGTAATCTATGGTTCAATAACTGCTTCATATTTCCAAAATTTCAGTAATTATTTGAAAAAAAAAAGAAAATCTCTGACGTAAAATGATGCTCGAGGAAACCATCCTCTCATCATTATACTATTTCATAGACGTAACTTCTTGTATTCTCTTCAAAGAAAATCAATGTATTTTCCGGGAAATAAATTCTCTCTAAATGCATAATAATTTGCAATCACATCAGCGTCTGCTGCGTGTCTATCGGACTTCGACCATGAATCGATTGATTTGTAGCTCACGACCTCGATGTAGTGACCTTTAGAAAGGGAAGTTCAGTAAAAATGATGTATTTCGCATTACTTCTATGGCCTTTTCCGGGATACCGGATTTATCTTTCATACGTCAAACCTAATCGCAGAGTTGAAACTGGCAATAATAAAAGATCAACACAGAATAAATTTTGTGAAGTCGAGTAACACAGTAGCACAGTTACAAACAATCACAAATTTACAACAAATTTTATAAAATATAGGGTGATTAAAAAGGGTAGCTTGGAGCTTTATATCCTTAAATATTGATTTTAGACATATATTTAAAGTTGCAAACTTTATTAAAGTGCAAAATGTTACGAAAACAGTTTAGATACTGTACGTGATTGCCTTGTGTGTACTCGATAGCCTAAAACCGTTCCGGTTAAGCCGTAAGAGTAACTTTATGCATTTAGTAACAAAAATCGTTATTACAAGCTTAACATCCGACTTTCTAAGAATTATAGCTATATCAGATTTTATGAATAGCAAGCTGAAACGTTAAGAATTCGGTTAATATTCGATTTAGTTCCAGATTTAAAATCCTGAAGACTATCTAATGTCAAGAGTTGCAGCCAAATCTTTATCATCTTTCAGAACTTATTTGTGTGGAACGACGTTTTCAGTCTTAATTGCTTTGGAATATAAATGTAAGAAAATACTGGACTGTGAAGATGAACTGCGATTCTATTTCAGCAAAATAGCTCCAGTCACTGATAAAATGAGACTAGAGTAAAGAAGCACAAGCACATCGAGATCACTGAAAAAAATAAAAATTGCGTATCAATATGCCTATAGTTGTGTATGGTTTACTATATTTATTGCTCATGCTATTTTTCGTAATATTTATCGATATTTGTTATTTATTAACACAAATTTAAATACATATATATTTTATTTTATTCCCAGTGTTATACTAACAATATGTTGATCTTTAAAATGAGTGTAGGTCAGTTATGCACACATTCTTAGCAGATAAACGAAATTTGAAAACCGCTGCGATAGAGTAAAAATTCCGGAAGTAAAACACTCATTAATGCTTTAACTAGCTAAAAACAGAAAGATAATACGTCAAACATTCGCAGATATATTCGAGAAAGAGTATTACTCGATAGGCCATTCTGGCATTTCTGTTTCTAAATTAAAATATTTGGAAACAAAATTAGATGAGAAGGAATAAAAAACAAAAGTTCCTCGTTTCGAAGATTAGCAGTTTCATAGCTTCATTCTTCACTAAGATGATTCTTTTCACTCATAATTCTGAAGTTTTCTCTTTCATTGTTGATAAAAATATATCTTAAATGTATAAAAAAATATGACTGTACTCGAAGGCAATCGAATACGAATAAACCAAGTTCCAGAAGTTAAACAATAACACAAATTAACAAAAATGAAGTGCATTTCACGTGTTCACATGTGCTGTATACACTGTTGCTATCTTTTTTTAGCCCAAAGGTGCACTAACTCAGAAGGGCTATTAGTCTCGAAACGGCATTTTGCATCGATTCACTAAAAGCGTTGAATCACTTTTCAAATTGTTGCCACAAAATATTATCACCCTGTATTATATTTAAAGAAATTAAAGAATGAAGAATCTGCATGAATGTATGCATGTTTATCGCCCTGTGAAAAAACAACGGTACCTAGAGCCATCAAATTTTGAATGACGTAGTCCTCCACCCGAATATGGGCACCTAGGAGCCCGAATTTTGAATTTATTATATTATATATTTCAAATTTTGTAAAACTTTAACGAATTTATGATCAAAAGACTCACAGACTTTTGATTAAAAGGCAAGATTTCATGGCGAGCAGTGGCAACACTTTACGGAATGAAACATTTTTATCTCCACCGCACGAGACTTTCAATCGGAAATTCTAAAGATATGCTATTTTTAATATTTTTAGCCCAAAGGGACATTTTTCCAAATGCTCTCGAAACGTGTCAGTGTGTGCAAATAAAAGAAACGGCTCTTTGTGCATAATATAAAATCTGAAAGCCTTCAGATTATTATTATTATTACTGTTTTTGCCTTTTTATTTATATTATATTGAATATTTTGCTTGTCCTGTTATACATGCAAGAGAAGAGCCGAGACTTCAGGTTAAAGAAGAAAATGTTTTGGATTTATTGTTAGAGAAATTAATAGCAGATAAACATAATGCGAATGAAGGTGAAAGAAAAAGTAAACAATTATATGAGGAAGTGAATATTCATTAAACAGTTCTGTGAGAAACATTTTGCGCTGTGGGAGCTTTTCAAATAATTTTTCGTAATCTAATTAGAATACATAAATAGTAAGTATCATGTAAGTTATTTATATGTGAATAAACATAGTCATCATGTACGACTTTGAAGGTACCAACGGTAAAGGGTGTACAAGTG